CGGGGACCCGCCATTTCGCTTGTCTGCCCTGGCGTGAAGGCAGCACCCGCGTGGGTGGTAGGGGAGCGCGACAGCACCGCGAGAGCAGCACCTCACCCCCTCAGCTCAGACTGCTGCTCTCATCAGCTTCCTCACCTGCAACGAGAACACGGCAGCACCCTGGCGGGGGTTCTGCCGGGGAGAAGCGAGGAGCTGCTGAAGGTTCCCTCCTCCCCGCCACTGCCTCACGCGATGCTGCTGAAATCAAGGAGCGGCATGGCACGCACGCGTGGAGCCGGGACTGGACCACAAGCAATATTTATTCTGACTCTGGCAGGTTGAAAGCTCTGGTATTTATGCAGTGGTCCCACAAATCCCAGAGGTCATCTCCTTGGGTCGCATAAACCAACGCAGCTTTAAGATGCTGGAGTTTATGCCAATGTATGGCAGCTGAGACTCTGGCTGAAGGTTTGCAAGGCCGAGGAAAATACTGCAGCTGAGACTGTTCTCGCTCCTTAGTTTCCTTCACATGCTGTTAAACAGAAGTTTCTGCCTCCAATCAAATGGCTCCATGGAACAACACATAAGCACCAGAGACAATCCATTTCTTAGGCACTAGCTGAAATACAAAAATAAAGGAAATAATAATAAAAAACTGCAATATGAGAGTTGCAAATAGTCCATTTAACCAAAACACGCTGCTTTTTCTTTTCTCTGTAAACCGATCATGACCAGGTTTAAATCAAACTCTGTGGAGTTTGAGCCTGCTTTTACACACACACGCACACGCACACACACACACAGAGACACACAGACACACACACACACACACAGACACAGACACACAGACACAGACACACAGACACACACAGACTCAGACACACACAGACACACAGACACGCAGACACACACACAGACACAGACACACACACAGACACACAGACACACAGACACTCACACACAGACACACAAACACGCAGACACACACACAGACGCACACACAGACACACACACACACACACACACAGACAGACACACACACAGACACAGACACACACACAGACACAGACACACACACAGACACACACACGGGAGAGAAGACACTTGCATGTATACACACACAGGTACTTAGACAATATAGGCGAATTGAATTATCACTTTTTAAAATAAAACACTTTTTTTTTTTTTTCCAGCATGCTTTTAATAATTTGAAAAGTTTGCTTGTAAGAGTATTTTATTAAAAGCTAGTCCTGGCTGATTTGTACGGTTACGAGAACACTTCAGGGCCACAGTGACCAGTAACTTTTGCTGCTCGTATCTCCCCCTGCGTAAAGCGAAACAGCAGGTTATCTGACAGAAACGTATTTTCTCTAAAACAGGCACGGGGCATGCCAGTGCACATACAGCCACAGCTAACAGACACAGGCACCCACCTCACCCTCAAACGAGCCGGCGCTCCAGCACACCACCCCCCGAGCAAAGCCCTGCGGGGAGCAGGGGGACACGCGTTGATCCCCCCCGGACACGGACACAGACACACGCACAGACAGAGGTGCCAGGCTGCATCGCCATGGTCCTCGCGCAGGCAGTGAGCCCCAGTACGAACCGCAGCCATACCTGCACCGCAGTGGAGACACACAGGTACATTGTCACCTGACATGGAGCGCGCCTGCTTGCGGCTGATTTGGGGCTACCGCTGGCTTGGTCTCTCTCCCGCCCACGTTAAACTGCAGCTGCTTCTTCCTGTAAAGAATTATTTTGGAGATGCAAATTGTTATTTTCTGGGGTTTGTTCCAAACAACTTTTAAATTACTTCAGGGACACAAATTCCCTGCTGCATCCCATTGAGACTGCGCTGAAAAGCTGCACAGGATGATGTTTTTCAAACACCCGAATGACTCAGGGGCTCTCGAAGCACCTTCACGGGTGGTTTAGGCACCGAAGGCCAAGAGCCACAGGGCGGTAGTGCAGGAGACCCCTCCACACCAGGGCTGCGTGGAAAGAAACGGCCCTCACCCTGTGCTCTCCCAGCTCAAAGTTGCGTTGATTTACTGCCAGATCTCATCTGCCGCATGCTACACGATGTCTCTCTGGACCACCACTTCCCACGATTCCTCCCTGGATACTCACGTGGTCTCCAGGTTATCTGCCGCCTGCGTATTGTCTGAAGCCCTCCCAGCTGAAACTACCGAGAACAGCCCAATAAAATGTTTTTAACTTCAAGGAAAGACTGAAGTAGAGCAGAGGATCGGCTGAGCAGCCTCCAGCAGGACTTGCCTCTGCTTTCAGCATCCTTGTGTCCCACCAGGGTGAGGAGTGCCAACGGGAAGCGTGGCTGGAGAGCACCATGCCCATGCGGCACCAGACCTCCGCAAGCCCGCTTAGTCCCACCGCTGCAGGGCTCCGGGCCCCAAAAACAGCAGATTCGGAGCGAGTGCAGGGGTCTGAGTACCGCGGTCGCGGGTCTTCGGACTCTGGGGGGATCTCCCACATGGCTTTCATGGGTCTCTGTGGCCTCTGTGTATTCACACCAGAGTCTTGGATCTTTATCCAAACACAGACATAAACGCAATTCTGGACTTTTTAAAGATCTTCTTTGCTTTGCGTGGATGCAAATCAAGAATTGGATTTGTAAGCAATCGGTAGCTTTGATGCAAGAGTACACGTGATGACACAGCGATGTAAATTTTAGGAAGAAAACATAAATATAAGAAAATTATACGGTGACAAGTATTATTAATTAGGCTTTTTTATTAAACAATTAGATTTTACCAACAGCTGCTTGGATGGATGTGGCTGGGGAGGTGAATTATGCCCCACGCCACGAAAAAGCTGAGCCATCACAATTTTTACCTAAATGATGATTCTTTTTCCAGTGTGGGCATGATCAATGGTGCAGCCATACCTAAACAGGCAGCAAGCCTTTGCAGATATGAGCTTCTCAGGGAAAAAACCCAAACTAACCACTACCTAGAGAATTAGATGGAGCAGTGCAAACTATGCTACTAATGACTATTTCAAGCTTAGCGAGTATTTATGTGCTATCTACACTAGCTGGCTCAGGTCTCTGTACTCTTCATTGCCGTCACTTTTGTGGTCACAGAACGGATACCTCTAAGCTGTATCTGATACGCACTGCTGCTGAACTTGCTAAAATCTAGTTTCTTATGTAGCAACAGTAAAGATAATAAATACTTATTGGATTAGCGAACAACCCAGCAATGAGTCACTTATTGGTGTATTACATCTGTTGGAACAGATGATGCTTATTAGATCTGAGGGTGACACAAAGCTGAGAAGGACCTGCAAGTACACTGGAAGACAAAATCAGAGTTCAAAATGTCTTGATAAATTGGGAAAAACCAGTATGAAAACCACAATGTAATTCAGTGAAGACAAGTCCGAGGTACTGCACACAGATAAGAATAATCAGCTTCACGAAATCAGGATGAGATGCAACTGGCTGAGCACAAGTTCTTCATGAAGGAGCTGGGTGGGAGAGGTTAATCACAGATCACAAGCTCAACACAAGTTAACTCTACCAGTTTTGTTCTAAAGAGAAGTTCCAGGTTATACCGGTAGGTACAAAGAGAAGCCTACCCTGCCAAGAAGGTGAGTGAGTCCTACCTACTCAGCTCTGGGAAGGCCTCAGCGGAGGTACTGTGTCCAGTCTGGGATGCTCTGCCTCAGGAAAAGGATGGTCTAGTCAGAAAAACTCCAGGGAAGATGCAAATCCAATCAGAGGTCCGAACAGTGCTGCCCATGGCACTTTTATCCTGGAGAAGACCAAGGGGAAAATCTGATTTTATTAAGGTTCCTAGAAGTCTGCTGAAAAGAGGACACGCGGCTTCACGACCCGAGTGAACTGGACAAGGCCTAACAGGGTTAAACTTGAACCTCAAACTAGCACAGTGCAGACAGCAACGCACGGGAATAGGTTGCTCAGGGCTGTCGTGGCACCTCCATCGGGTGAGGTCCTTAGGAAGCGGCTGTGCAGATGTCCATCAGGACTGACCTTGATGCACTCAGACTGCCCCACAGGAGAGCATGACCTATGTGATCTACCAAAATCCACTCACCAGACTATTTTTCCTGTGGCTCTAAAGAAATTCCAGTACATTTCAGTTGTAGCTGCTCATGGCAGTGATCTTGACATTTCTGAGTAAGACGCCTCAGTGTTGTCCCTCTGTAGGCATGGAAGTAACCCCCGTGATGGGTGATTTCAGAAACTGAGAGCCATACCAACCAATTAACGTGACAGGACGTGACACAGCCAAAGAATTCACAAATGCTGAACTTCTAATCAAAGCATTGGTGGGGTTTTTGTACCAAGAGGTAGAAAATACCAATCACATAAATGCAATCACAATTAAAAACGAGAATAGTGCAGATTTCCTTCCTACAGCTCCTCAAACTCCAGCAATAGCCCAGCAGGCAGTAGCTGAACAAAGAGGAGCAATGGTGTGCTGGAGCCCAAAGGCTCTGGGCTAACTGGATGAGAGACCACTGGGGGATAAGCACAGCCTTGGGGAAGAGGAATTGTGAGGACACTACACTAAAAAAGAGAAGGAAGCCAAGAAGAAACCACACGAGGAAGAGAAGTTTGCAGCAAGTGTAGAACCAAGAATTACGACACCATGAAAAAAAACAGCCGAGAGACACCCCCCCTTGCTGCACAGCTACATCAAACTCTTTCCTTAAGTAAATACAAAAAGTTATGTATTTTTTCCCCATTGCTGAGTAACTGCAAAAGAGATCTACGTGTAAGAAAAACATTGACTTGGAAGATGACAGAAGAACCAGAAAGAAGAGAGAAACTAGCAGACACTGACTGCCTTGAGAAGACTGTCATGGAGCACTTCTGGAAGGGTCATCAGTCATCTACTATGCCCGCTACGGTCACCCCAAACCCATGGGGAAATCTTGTTAGAATCGGCCCCAGAAAAGCTATCCTGATAAAGTTCAACTCTGTGCAGTGGGACCAGATCTATATGAAAGCTCCTCAATAATTCTGGAAAAATTTAATTTTATGGATTTGTTTGATGTGTTCTGAGTTGCTCACAAATTATTTTGCAAGAATCGACCTGCAATTGTATCAGCCCTCACGGAAGTCCCAAGAGGAAATGCAAAGACAGAGGCTGGAGCTAATTCTTTGTGCTATTTTCCTCAAGCAAATGAGCTGTGGTTCTTCCTTAAAGCAGCATATGCATATCTCGCGCTTGCAGGGTAGGCCTTCCACTGTAACACAGCTTTGCAGGTTTGCCTGAAAGCAGCAGTCACGGGGCTGCATTCACCTACAGCACTGAAGGCCTAAAGAAGGCTATGAGAGCTTCGTACACCTAACTCAGTTCCTTTTGGGTTTTCCCTTGCACGAATCTTTTCTCCAGGCTCAGAATGATTACTGAGCTATTTTTACTCCTTCCACAGTCACTGTCACCAAAACTTCTGATTTTATCACAGATTTATGATACTGGGTCTTCTTAAAGCACCAGCTACTGGAATCAGGAGCATGCGGCTCCTGGCTTCTGTTAAAAACACCCAAACGTTCAATGTAGGAGGAAGCAGCAAAAAGAAGCAACAATGTCTAAAGACTAAAAGGCAAATCCAACAGTCGGTGTTGGGACGCAAACCCTCATGATTTTCAGGCCTTTAATGTTTATCTTTGAAGGCCAGCGGTTAGCAACTCCTATGTGGATAAAGATCATATATAAAACTCACAGTTCTGAAGCATTTAGTTAAAACTTCCTGCTCCACTAATTAGAGGTTGGGCTCAACAAGCTCCCAGAAGTGGGAACTCCAGAAGACCTTCAGGTAGAAAGAGACAGGTCACTCTACAGGTGAGACCTGCCTCCCCACACCCATATCCCCAACCTACCTCTGACCTGCATCGGCGCATTCGCCGAGGGAGGGAGCGTGGCCCGCACCTGAGCTGGGCACACGCGTCCATCTCTTCGGGTACGGAGACAGGGTCAGTGTTTGCTGACAAACCGGCTGCTGAGTCTCTTTCAGGTGATCTCACATCCCCCAGCCAGTGGCCAGACCCCTTAAAACCACCTGCCTCTCTTCAGGGACCTTTCAGGGATCCGGATACTCTGCGGAGCAACCAGCCTCACTGCCTAGAACAGATGATAGAAATCCAAACATCCAGAACAAACGCGTGTATTTGGACATGCACCAAAACGACCAACATACTGAATTGAACTGATCTAAGTTATGAATTGATCACGCATGAGATGAAGATTAAATGCTGCCCTTTTTAACAAAATGCATATAGAAGAAATAAATATGTGAAAAGTGCATTGGAAATCTTATTTCAGTTTTCAGTGTAACCCACAGCAATTAAGGCACCTTACGATTTAATTCAGCTCTGAATATTTTTCTCAAAATAACTATGTAAAAAGAAAATATTATTGAAACTGCAATATTAAATTTTTATTGATGCCTATGAAATCTAATGCTTGTTGCTTATACTCTGGTTATTAAAAAGGAGGAGCTAAACTTCTTTCCTTTTAAGTCTGACTCAGAAAAAAAAACGGCTGTGACTTGCGACAGCTATTGCAAGACTTTTGTACCTTAATAAAAACAGACTATCATTGTCTTCACTTTCTCTTAAGCCTTGTGATTGAATTGATTTATTTTTGAACATCATAAGGAGAAAGAAAGAGTCAAACGGAATAATAAATTGGCTGGTTTTAGTTTATTTTACTGTGTATTTCTTTATCCTGAAACTGACTTACCCTGTTTTGAACCTACATCTGAATGACAGATATTTAACTTTATTGGCAGATGAGCATTTCTTACAAAACTTAGATATGCAGTGGAAAGTTTTCATTAAAATTAATAACACCACCAAGGTTTCCTGTTTGCTTTTATGGGAAGCAAAGAAAACTTTGTTGTGAAATGCCATAATACAGCAGCAGAAGTCCACCAAAACTTCACTAAAAACAATAAAAATCAGGTCACAAGCTAAACTCTAATATTTTCACTTACATTTCCTGGTGCTTTGGGGAATTGTTCCATCAAATTTTCACTCTTAATAAAAAGAGGAGCCAGGAGCAATTATTCTTTTTGAATTTAACCACCATCTACAATTAAACACGATGGCCTTATTACATGACAGGGATGGTTATCCGACTGCATAGAGTAGTTAAAAAACCATCAGCCCTACCCCTCCATGAGTGATGCCCTTCCTTTGAACGGTTAATCTGCAATGTCAGGAAAGAACATTAATGAGATTATAACAACAGCAAGCTGCCCCGATTTGCAGAGCTACCAAACTGGTCATCCTCTGAAATAAACCCATGGGACTGGAGCCTTAATGCTCCTTTCTGGTTAGAAAACTAAATTATGTCTGAGAGAAGGCTTTGGTATGCCTGCTCCTATTGTCTCCATCTCTTTCAAACTGCAAAAAAACCCAAGAAAAACCCCAAACCCTGGGGACTGGAGCA